GCTTTCGTTCTCGCCCTGTTAACCTTCAAAATAAATAAATGTACAAATTTCATACAAGTATATGTTGTGCAGAAACGCATATAAATGGGTGCCGTCCGGCTAATGCTCCCAGGCAATCTTTTTCGTCCAGTTCTGGTATGGAAATTTGACGATTAATTACTGAAACCTCAACAACTACCACGTCCTCTAGCATCGAACGTCATAGCTTATCCCAGCACAGGTAAATATTTTAGCCCACCTAGAGTATTGAGTAACGATCTGTGCTGCAGCTTATCTCTATTGCGCTTAGCAGTGCATTGGATAGCCCCGTTATTTGGTGCGTCAAGTTCTTCACCTCAGCTGTTCATAGACGATATGTGGCCCGAGGGGATAGAATCCGATCCGATCTGATCTTATCAAAATTATTTATTTCGTATGGGTTGCTTCAAGATAAGCCAGGACTACCGAGGAAAATGATGAATAATGGATAAGTAGCTAGGTAGTCCATTCGAAACACGTCGAACATGTGTCTAACTTCTACTTCGGCTCTTGGTTCATGTCCGTCTACTGCCCTTGTAATTCCAAGAGAACATACGTGTTCTGGAGCACTTAGAGGGGCTAGACTAAATGGTACTAGAGCCTCTACTATGTTATGGCATCAAATATACTCAGATGAGCACTACCATAGCTTGTAAGTGTGTATATTTTTATATCAATGTGATGCTCAATAACGATGTGATGATTATTTATACCGAGGGCTCGATATCACTTTCGAGATCAACAATCTAGAATGGAACAAAACAGGTTGCCAAGTGCAATAAATACCAAGATCATCGGAAGATGTTTATCGTTTTCTTCAGTCAAATCCCACTAGCCCAAAAGCCATCTGAAGGAATACAAACCATTAAGACATGAGAATTCGAGCTAGTTAATGTAAAAATAACTCATTCCTGTGGGTTATGGTTAAAAAATAGGGTATATAATCGTTACCTCATGCGTTTCCAAGTCCTTAAACGGCTTTCATCTAGACAGATCTAGTGAAAAGCCTAAATTTGTGATTTGAATTGTAGAATGATGATCCTAGCTCTCCAACATTAAATAAAACTTGTTGCCAGATCAAGCTGCTAGCATTTTTTTGAATCTACGTGTCATTATCGGATGTCGATATAGGGCATTAATGGGTAAATAAAAACTGATGTCGATCTCAGTGCCTAATCTATAAATCAATAGTCAGCATGCCATGTAGCGAGCGCCCGAGACAATCACCTTGATTTATATTCATTATCCTGATTTGGTGCCCTATGGGCCCATGCAGGTGGATATAAACCTATCTATATATTTACATAGGAGGAAACCTCTCGGTGAAAACCTTCCCAGCTTTCTGATTTGTATCTTTGAAATTTGCGATTTATCCTTTAGGAAGCACAGTTACACTGTGGTGCTATCTGTGTGTATCAATCACGTCCCCTGTAACGATCCCAACCTTGTGCCAGTCCTGTCTCGTTGCCTAATCAGCATTTCGACTGCATTTGTCATGCGGAATTGATCTATCCAATCATGACTAAGAATCCATTGCGTAATTCTTTTAATATCGCCAGGATTGTCTATCATTGCTTCGTAGGACCGATCTTTGGCTTGTCTCCAGATCTCACCCCTACCACTTGACCACTTAGTGCAGGACATGATCATATGCTTGGGATTTTGTGATTGGTAGCCACATGGACAGTATGGAACGTAGACTCATGGTACTTTTCTTCTATGCAAATACGAATTAGGCCCAATGTGTTACGGGCTAGGCCCGGCTGGGTTCTGGCTAGGCTGTTTAAGGCTATAGGGCCCATCCTTATCTTGAAGGCTCAAGCGAGTTTGTAAATCTTCTCACTAAACGGGAGTATTATCAGATCACGTGTAAAGGGCAAGTGTATCTGGAACATGCATTATAGTTATAAAGGGCCATAGCTTCCCGCTCGTAATTTTCTCATAGAAAATATAAACATTTATTTGTGGCATTGCTTTCGTGCATTGGCCGAAAGTCCTAGCCCGTCACACAATGTGCTCGCTTCGAATTTGGATTTCTAAGCTAATTTGGGCCCTTGTCAGGTTTTTATGGAGAGTAAGAGGAGATTTCTGGAAAATTTTTCTTTGACGTCCAGTATGTCGGCATTGATAGAATTTAGCTGCTTTCCAAGTTTCAGGATCTACTGTAGCACTTTTTTGGGGCTGTCGACTTCGCTTAGGGGTAGACCAAGATTTCGCCCATTCTAGGTATGCTGCAATCTTTAGCGCTTCTTTCTGTAAATCTTTAGATTTCTCCTCTCCGCAAATCTCTCTCCAATAGGCAAGGTCTGCTCTTCTATTATTTGCTCGAATATCTTCTCTCCCTCTTTTGGGTAGCTTGATCATATTACATGTAAATTGAATAGCTTTTTGGACTGGTAGGGAATTTGAACGGCCCACATATTGTACCTTTTGTTGCTCCAAGTATATTTCTATTGGAAGTGTGGCAGTTTCGTGTTTCAGAACCCTGGTGCTAGTCGATTTATATGCCACTGTGACTAGTTTTAAGTAATTTCTTTGAGAACTTCGATGGGGTTTGACTATTCTATTAGGAATTTTACCCCCTGGTCCGGCCTCGGCCCAGATCGATGACCCATACGTAAGAGCTGGTCTCACTATTGTGCTGTAAAGCAGCTTTGACTTGTGAAAGGTGGCTCCACATGTGAAATGCACCAACCTACTTATGACCCGGATCTGTGTCTCGGCTTTCAGCTTTAGACTTTTGAAGTGCGCCCCCCAATTCAGCTTCGGATCAGAGTAAATTCCGAGAACGCGCAGAGAAGGCTGTAGTGCTGCAGCATAGCCTTGGATGTTGACTGTCGCTTTGAGGTCATGCCTTCTTTGAGCTCGTAAGAAATACATTAGCTGATACTTCTCGGGCGCAAATCTGACTCCATGCGTTTTTGCCCACTGCTCACAGACCTTATGTTGCCCCTCCAGCTCTCGACAGTTCTTTTCCGTTTAGTTTGACCAGGTTAGAATGTTGATAACGTCGACAAACCCGACTGCAGATGTAAAGGAAGTTTTCAGCATCGGAAGGAGAGTACTGACAAAGAATAAAAACAGTATTGGTGACGGAGAAGAGCCTTGGGGTATTCCTGTACTGCTTGGGATATATTTTCCTCGGGATGATCTAAATACCATAGAAGTTGTTCTATCTTCGAGAAAAGATTTTATAAATGAGATAATCGCCTTATTATTCATAGACGTTACAATAGAGTAGTCACATGACTATGATAGAGTGCCACGAATGGAAGTCCGAACAGAGGAGACAGCTCTTGATATGCACAACCATCTGTTGAATATCTTTAGGCCTAGCATTGAATGAAGCTATCCCTAACCACTAAGGCAAGTAAGTAGACCATAAAGATTTCCGACAAAAAAATTCGCCCTAAGGAGGAAATTATATGAAATATTTTCCAAGGTTCTATCGGTTATGATACTTCTCCGATACATGCTATTTGAATGAAGTCTTTAAAACGCTATTATATAGCTTTGGCCCAAATTAGCCGAGAGTTAGATTATTCTTGCCAGACGCTCCCGGCCGTCGAGTTTCTGGCAGAATCATCACTTAATCAACAGAACAGTCAAACTAATTTGCAAGAATTCTAACCTTCCTAAATATAGGAGAGACTTCAAATTATCCGACTATGGAAGTAAGATGATACCAAAGATCTAGTTCTAGATCCCTATTTCGTTAGAAGGGAAAATATCTACTGCCGTAATGGTGCCGCCAAACATACCAAAAATTGATTGCGGTTATTGTTACGAGGAACAGTCTCTTGAAGACTTCTTTTATGAATAACTTAACCTAGCGAAAAAAAGCTACTGGCTCCAATAACAAATTTTGAGTACGTTGGGCCGACTTGCAATCTCCTCTTCCTTAATCAAGATTGGCCTTGATCACTATGCTTTTCGATTGCGATACTAATGCTTCAATCCCGCGAATGAAGCTCTTTCGACGGAGCTGTTATCTCTGAGTTGTAGTCCTCAACGCCGCGACCTCTCTAATTCCTGCGAAAACAATATTAGCTGCCAAATCTAAAGATCGTGCACCGGCCATTACACGAGATCCTCGAAACTAATAGGCCTCCCCTCAATCTTGTGTTACCAACGAGGAAAGACTGTAGACATAGCTTTATTTGCGCTCGGCCTGGCGATAAATTTGCTAAAAACTTCGTTATTAAGTGAAAATTTGTATTTCGGGATTGTGCAAAGTTTAGCATAAGGAATGCGGTATTCTGATAAGCTACATTACATCTCCTCTGTACAATGAGCCTCGAGCACATGACACAATATCTGACTTCAAGAGCGGCAAGACGGCAATAGATTTATACACTCTCCTGATAATTCTAACAGGTACGCTCAAAGAAGCTAGAAAAGACAAAGTGGGGAAAATAAATTGCTATAGAAATCAAGTACAACAAAAACTATGGTGTAGTAGCTAGGTGGAAATGCCTTTTTTTACCCAAAGCAGTCTGCAACTCATTCTACAAAGAATTCCTTTCACTCACTATGTTTGCACAGCGACGAGATACGTGAAAGCTCCCAGAGAGATGATGTAACTGCACCCAGGACTACGGTACTAGCACTCAAGACACACATGAGATCATATTTGTCCGAAGAGATGAACAAACGAGTGTTAGCAAATTTCTTGCCTTCAATTTTCTGTGTACTCATTTTGATACCATTCCTGATGCGGAAAAATCACTGATTAGATTCCGCTGGTGCTGAGAAAAAACGCCTAGATGCCACATTTAGAATATGAATGATAGATTTGACCAAAGAAATAGAAAAAAATGAATAAAAATAGAATACTACTTATTCCGGCTTAAAGCGTTTGAAATCCCATGCATCAATCATCAGCGCTGAATCCTCACACTAGCGACAGTACAGGCGCATCAATTTATGAATAGTAAGAAGCAAATCAAGAAGAGAATAAAGAAAGTTGACGCTCGTGTCAACTATCCCGATCCAACACTACTTCGTGACTGACTTAAGGTTACTGATCCCAATTCACTTGGTGTTCCTGGTCCGATAGAAAGCTGTGACTTCACATTGATGATCCACTCGTGCTGAAGTAGTTCAGATGCAGAAGCACGTTTCCTAGAATCTCTAATGAAACATTTCTTCAGAAAATTAATTCCCTCAGGGCTGAGCTGATCAGGCGCCGGCAGTTGAGGGGGGTTTCCTTGAGCAATATTATACATTATAGCCCACTCATTATCAAGTACTGCCCATGGTCGACGTCCAGTAGTCATTTCAAGAACTACACATCCAAGTGACCAAATATCGACGGCCCCTGCCCTACCAGGAGCCTCGCCCTTTATGACCTCAGGCGACATGTACATTGGTGTACCTGTCATGGACTTATCTGCTTTCATTCCTGTTGAATTGATAGCAACGAGGGTTTTACCACGCCGGGCTATAACTTTAGCAGCACCAAAATCAACATACTTGATGATTCCATGATGATTCAAAAGAATATCTGCTTATGTCAGTTGATAACGTGAAAGCTGAGAAAAATAAATTACTCTCGGGTTTGATATCGCGGTGGACAATACCGCTTTCGTGAAGGTATGCAAGACCTTCTAGTAATTGTAGCGCATAGACCATGATAACTTGTTCATCCTCTATACGCCCGTGTTCCAGGAGTCCTGCCAAAGATCCACCAGAACAGAATTCCATAAATATATAAACTCTGTCTCGATGAACTTCAATTCCGTGATAAGAAACTACATTCGGATGATCTAAAACCTCTAGTACATTCATCTCATCTCTGATCTGACCAGCAATGACGGGGATCAATGAAGGATCTTGGAGACGAATCTCCTTGACAGCCATTAGCTGGCCTGAATCCAAGTTAATAGCTGAATATACAGATCCAAATGTACCTCCACCGACAAAACTGCCTTGTTGCCAGCGCATATTAACGTTAGATGCCGACGAAGAAAGATGCGTCAACGATCTATCAGCTTCGCTGGACTCTTCCATAACGCGTCCTAAGGCTTGTCGTTCGGCTTCTTTCTGTTTTCTCGTATTATCAAGTTCAAAAAGTAATCTTTGCCTATGCTCGCCAACGTATCGGGCTGATTCTTCATCATCCATCATTCGGCTCAAGTCAATCTTTCGGAACTGACCAGCTAGAGCCTCCACTCGTTGCTTTTCTGCTTGGGCAGCTAGAGTAGACCTAGCCCCCATAATGTCGAAATGTGATATTAGTAATGACATGCACCCTGCAACCTTTGCCCGAAGTCTAGCAAATTCTTCTTTGCCCAAGGCAAGGATATGTTGGCCTTGGGTCATTATCATCGCAAATTCTAATGCCAGGACTGCCCATCTGAATGTTTTTCTATCGGTTGCAATACAATCATCAGAGATGAAGCTCACCCAATCTAGTCCCAATTTTGTGAGTTTAAGGTTGTTCATTTGTTTTCGATTTCGATCCATGTAGGGTAACGACCGTTGCCCGAACTCTGTTGCAAAGACGAAACAAGTTTGAATCAGTTCTTGACAGTCCATTCCTTTGGTTTGTTTTCTTACAATCTCAACACTATCCATGATAAGATTAGATAACTTATAGACAACCTTTTTAATCTCGGTCAACTTCATATTGACTTTCTTTAGATAAGATCTCTGTTCTACTACCATATCAAGATCTATGTCGGTCGAGTCTAGAAATACATTGCGCGCATTTCGAAGCTTTGCCTGGGAGCCTTGGGCAATAAGTCGAAGATGACCAACTTTTAGATCTATAGCTGGCTCCTGGATGTTAGCTTCAATTTTTCGCCCTGTCCAGATGATCTGAGTTTCTGGGCGAAGAATCAAGACATATGAGTTTGTTACGTCCTCCATTGTTTCGTTTGAATGGTTGACTGTTCTAAGTATTGCCTTGATATCACGCTGCCTGTTATATAGCGAAGGTGAAGCAATCAGAAATATTCCATCGTGCTCTATACTGGCTGTGTAGACCATAAAATGCCCTGTCTCAATAAGATTTTCATATAACTGATCGAGCTCTGACTGTTTTAAAGAAATACTGAAGTCTGTCGCATTCTCAAATCGGTCACTGAGGACCCTTGAAAAACGCTGCAACATACGCTGACGTACACGAACTGAGTCGAGACTTTGTTTATAGCGCTTGGTCATATCACTGGCAGATTCTTTAGGCTTTCTTTGAAGATCTCTTTCGAAAGTCGTATAGAGTCGATTAAAAGCTTTGTGGGTTAGAGAACTAAACTGTTCAGCGACCTCGACATCACCCCCTTGTAAGTGTCGACCAATTTCAGTTGAAAAATTCCATTCTTGTTCCAGAACTTCTGCTTCTTTGAAAGTATTTTTGTTGCTACCAAGCTTCCAGTTCAGCATCTTCAAGTAAAATTTTAGGGCGTCTAGCACGACTTGGTCAAAAGTATCGTCGATACAAGGAGGAAGTTCCCATCCAGCTTCTGGATGAGAGATTGTTAGATTTTCTTGTTTTATTCGGACAGCTAGATTCAGTAAGATTTGGAATTGAGATATGATTTGCTCCTGCATAATTGTATTTTGTTGGGCGGGATCCTTCATATTCTTGGCGTATTGAAGCCTGACTTTAATAATTTCCTCAATAAGTCTAGAAGGGAAATTGATGAGGATTAGGAGCTCTTCAATGTAGGGGGGGAGATGGCGTTTAGCAAAAACTGTAGAATTTGAAATGAGCGTAGATTTTGCTTTTAGTATAACCATGGAAACAGCACTGAAAATACAGTTATCTTGTTGTAGCGATCGAAGGCCATCTTCTTTTAGCAGCCGATCTATGAAAGACGAGCCATCAGATAGTCCATCCCCTAGAGACGACCGTTCTTTGGCTCTATTGAAGTCCAAATCACTATTTCCGACCCAATTCTTCAAGATACCGAGTTGCGTATTGATGAGTTCTGTAATGTTATGCCATGATATAACTGCATCACATGCAGCATAAAAAGCTGGAGATGCAGCAAGCTTATTGTCTATTTCTAGGGCAGCCCTTGAAGGATATAGACAGTCACATTTTTCAATCATTTTTATGATTTCTCGTACTTGCACAATGGGCGGCTTCCCCACCTCACTTTCTCCTTTGATTTCGAATGAAATTATTTCTTCTAGCTGAGCGCTCAGCTTAGATCTTGCTTCATCAATGATCCTTTTCTGAGAGACTATTAAACGCCCACAGGTCTTTGCCCTAAGACCTAGCCAAATTTCACTGTAAATATTCTCTCCCTGCTTGTTTGATGCTCCTATGAGTCGTTTTTTTTCCTGCCTGACTACATCACCTGTCAGTACAGAGGCAAGCATACCATGCCACTCAAGTCTCTCTCGGTTTTCGGGTATTTTAAGATCATCTTCTGTAGGCTGTATATTATCGTTTCCGTAGAACAAAAGAGTTTCTTGTTCAAATGGATCATTCGAAGCTTCAGCCGGGGAGGCTTCCTCTGAATCAGATCCATAGCTTACACTCGAGGTGGGTGGCTCAAAATATTCTAGTTGCTGATCCTGCCTCAATCGCTGAACATATGCCCTTTCTTGTATCCTGTATGAAGCACTTGGGTCAGCCCTGAGCAAAGATCCCGAACGATGTCTCTCAGTTGCAACATTTGGCGGTTGCTGAGTGGGTCTTCGAGCCGGTGCGTAAGTACCTGATGGAGTTCGAGCTGGTCCAGTTGGACGTTGAGATCGAGAGATTCCACTTGTTAGTGGTGCATGAAAAGGTGGGAATGGGGATGTGAGTGGAGAGCTCGTAACATTTGGCTCTTCTTTGCCGATATATTCTAGATCTTGGGGCTCTCCCCAGGGTGTAGAATCATTCACGCTCCTGGGTGATTTCTGGTCGTCGAGTACTTCATTTCTTTCTATTTCGGCGTCTGTAAAGCGTACCGCACGCTGTACTGGCTCAATATCCATAGTTACAGATAATGGTTTCGATAAGCTTGAGGGTGCTGTCTTGCTATGACATGACAAAAAGAGCGCGCATGTTGGAAAAGACGTCGATGGTGGTACCAGAAGTCCTCATGAAAATTCAATTGTCATAAGTCTTTGAGAATAAGATGTAGCGGAAACTCACGGTAAATAAGTAAAGAAGTGGTTCACACAAGCCTCAGCCTAACAATTAATGAATTGATGCGCATTTTTTGTCCTTCCAGCTAGGAGCAAGGGTTGACAAATAGTGGGAGGTAGCGCCTATGCTCTTGGCAAAATAAAGCTTATACCCATAGTGTTATTATGGATGATAGTAAAGGCAGACAAATAACATCTGAGGCACGAATCATCAAGATTACACCGGAAACAGTTAGAAGCTAAATTTCCTATTTAGATTGGTAGAGACTGAGAGTTAAAGGCCTTTAATCACTAATGGTGATCTGTTACTTGGGAGGCGTATATGTTCTCGCCTAGGATTTCAATACGCAGCCAGAACCATCTCCACACAGTCAAAAGGCAACGGATAATCGAATGAATACCCCCTACAGCATGTGATTATACTGGTAGCCCTCTCACAATTGTGACCGTTCCTTTCCCGGCGAAAGATTTCATTGCTCAAGTTCTCTTTCAATATTATCGGACGGCATGGTACATGATTGTTGGTTGAAATCGATTGTCACCAATGCCACTCGTCTCACCCCCACTCGGGTAATTAGTATCCGATATGTCCTCCCTTATAGCACTCAAAGCTGTGAGCTATGACCGTTGAAATTGTACTACCGTGAAGCAGATTTTAGAATCCTGACCTATCATTCATTTCTTCATTTATCAATCCCAACGGAATACGTGCATAAGTTATGATTAAGCCACAGTGCCATGTATACTCAAGATGCGAACCAGGAATCCAACGCGTCTACCTCAGTTCAGTTTTCATCAGACAACGGTCACAGTTTAACCTTAGACAAAACACCAAGTTTCATTGATGCTACCGCGATAAGCTCAAAGAAGAGAAAGCGAAACGAAAACTCTCTGAGTAAATATCTAAATGAAACGTTTGTGGTCAAGGCATGTCAAGAACACCATATCTCAGTATTCCGATTAACTTATACATCTAGCCGTACCCAGCCCAAACCATTTCCACCAACATATGTACTCTTCAGCCTGTCTTACTCGTACGTCGATCGGATTTGCCTCTCTCCTCACTTGACTTCCAATCGTCAGCCAAATCCCTAGGCCAAACAAGGCTGTTTGAGGCTGATCTCAAGATTCTGGAATTAGAAGAGCAATTGGATAACCAATCCTTGATATTGGTTGCAAGACATAAAGACTCAAAATCTCTTTTTGCATTGGAACGAGAGAGTCCAGGACTTTACGCATTATTCCAGATCGGGTCATGGGTCAACTTACAACAACTTCTCAATGTGGCTGTGGCTACCAAACAAGATTCCTCAGAGCTTTCCTTGTTGTCCGAGACTTCATTTTGCCAAAAACTTCCACAATCCAATAACTTTTCGGTGCCCAACATCAGTAGCAAGAAACGCATCGCTATTCAGGCCCTCCAATCTAAATTACGACGCCCTTCTAACTTCGTAGAATCTCCGTCTCAGCATAAGGACGAACACCTGATAGAGTCAAAAATAGCGCCGTTATCTAAAAATTATCTCCCTCACGATTATGGTCAACTCGAATCTGAGCCGGCTCCATCAAATTTAGCCGAAATTTCCGAAACTATCCGTACGCAATACTTCGAGATTCTCTATCTTTCAAAGGCATCTCTAGCTTACTTTGCCAAAGGCCCCCTCTCACGGGCAAGAGCCATGTTTTTAAAAAGCGGCCAACCCAACAATGGCTTAAGCGATCATATATCGTTTCTTGAAAGCCTAATCTTGACAATCTCACATCTCGATAAGAAATATAAATTTGGAATACCGCTATGCATTTCTTCGATCGGTAATGAATGTAAAGATACTCAAAATGGAGAAGGAAAAGATGCTACAAAGAGGATTAAAAGAACGTCTAGAAAAATGAAGCGCGACAAAAATGGGCTCTACCCTGGCGAGGATATATTAATACAGAAATGGTGTTCCACTCAGGAAGATGATTTAGAATTAAGCGTATCTGAGTTGAGTACGGAGCAGCTCATCAGAATCCGGACTACTCAGCTCCGAACCCGTGAAACCCAGTTACAGATACTACTTATCCTAGAGGTTTTAGCCCTTAGACCTTTGGATGTTACTTACGATCATGGGGCGAATCCTGGAAATAAGCTACTAACTACTTCAAACTCCAGTACAACAAACTATAGAGAGGTAGGAATAAAAAATTTGAAGAAAAAAGGTAGCCTACCATTACTCATCGATATACATGTAGATAGACTATGTATCTGGCAATCAGTTGCAATAGGAAGCCCTGAATCAATATCAACAGTTTCTCATCATACAGCTGCAGTCAATAATTTGTCTGAAATCCAAGTGAAATACGACGAAAACGCACTAAAAGACTTTAGTACTGACGTCATAGTTCCTTTGTAAGTAGCTTTACTTGAGGTATTTGCTCAGCTGAGAAGTCTAGTTTTTCATCTCGTCTCCCTAATCAATGTGAGTTAATAAACAGCAAATTAGGAGGTCCTGTAGGACTATCATCCTCAAAAATTCAATTATCAAAAACATCGAAGTCATCTAAACCACCAGGAGCCATCACAGAGCGGTCTCTTCCTAAAGAGGCACGACGAAGTGGCAAACAAACTCATTCCAAAAATGAAGAGAATAGAAGAGACCAGGGGAAATCCCATAGCACTCTCCCCAGTGTTAAGTCAAGTCGTTCAGTGCCAACAATAGCAGCTATAAGGAAAGTAACACGAATGCCGTCATCAATTAAGTGCACTTCTAAAATCGAAGCTCTCGAGGCAAACAGGTCCGGGGTCTTTCGATCAAAACGATTTGCGCAACGAGAAGTAAATTTTAACTCGATCGTCGTTGGGATGGATATTAAAGCCAAAAAGGAGGCTATTAAAGCGAGCAAAGATGCTAAAATTGAATCCGGGCTCTCCCATGCTATATCCCTGCTGAGGAAACCAAATCGTCGGCTGGCTGTCGAGGACTTATTTCAGCCTGATGAGACTGAATACACAAGCCCCTTGGATTTACAAGGTAATTTTTTCACTGCAACAATCAGCCCGGCGTTAACATAATTAAGATCCTAAGATATCTAAGCGAGGTCCTAACTTAAACAAAGTGCAAATATGTGCAACTCCGAAGTCACATCGGACAAAGGTTTTTCCTCTTAACTCTCCAGTTTATAACCTTGATATATCTAGATCCTCACCAACTCAATCGCCCTCCTCTCCAGGAATGGCTCACATAAAAGAAAGTCAACTGTATCCAATCCAGGTTACCCCAACCAAAAGATCTAAGCCATTGATTTCAAGGGACACTAGAGAAGAAGACAGCCATAATCAGCCTTGCTTTCACTTCCCACTTTCATCTAACCATCAAAAAAATTCTAACCTGTTTCTTTCAGCAAAAGAACTTTTTGTTGAGCCTAGGAATATTCATGAAGAGAGGTGTGGAGTCATAGATACACCAGTCAAAGGAGTTTTAAATGATATAAGTTGCTCTAAATCTTTGAATGAATCTACAATAAAAATGGGAGGTTTAACTCACGCGAAGACTTTCAACGAAAGTACAGATAATGATATATATGAAGAACTTGGATGGAACGAAGATATTATATAGCTTTCGAAGTACAGGAAATATGAATAACCATCAATTTGTGGAGGTACACCACAAATCTTGAAAAGCTCAACAACTTAAAAAACCCCGCTAGCCCTTGTCAATATGAATCTGGCATAAGGCAAATTTGGCAGTCAGATTAGAACCTAGTATTAACTCAGCAGGTAAACACTTCGGGATTACGTGGGATATCCTCAGATGTGTATGGCTAACGCATCCATCTAGGTAAATCTAGACAAGGACTGTAGATATAGGCTTCAGGGTAAGCAAAATTATATAATTATTTTTCTTTTGGTATTTGGCATCCATGCGAGTCTAAAGTTCAAATAGATGGATTTTTATTCGTGACGGGCACAAGTCTAGCACTCATAGAGTATTACACTGAGAAAGCTAGTCCCTCACCGAAGACTACGTATGACGATCACCCAGTTTAGAATCTGGACCACTCATATAGTGGGTACATTTGCTGATACCACTCGAGACCTTGTGCTAGGGAGTTTCATTCTTCCCCCAACTGTTAATATCCACCAAAGGGAAAGCAGGAAAAACCTTTGGCTACCCTAACATTTCTGTGTCATCTTGTATATAGCCACCGCACGAGATATGGCCTCACAGTCCTCCCTTCCTCGAGTGAGGTAGGCGCCCAGTCTAACCAAACTCTAACTTAGTGAGATAATGACGATGAGGCGGACCACAACACTTTCCATCGTTGACTGTTTTTAAATTGTCGGCAGCTATCTCTAAAATCTTAGCCTCGGCGCACGCAAGTAACCTTAAGTCGAAAGCACTCGAAAGAATGTGAGTCTCAGTATGCCCATCTGTGACCTCTTCAATCGTTCGTCCCACGTCCCAGCTGCTCGTCCTCGCTCACGATGTGAAGCTCCATTTGAGCAACGGTTCCCCTTAGAACAAGACCCTACATTAGTATACTATGTCTTGGTTTACTCCCCATAGGTATTTATAGCATCGTAACTTTATAGTAGGATATGGCCGATGTTTGATTAGGCAAATTCCAGATTGCTATTGCAGTAACGCCTATATCGGGGTATTTTCTCAACACCTGTTAGTGGTGTCCCCTACGAACCTCCAGCTCTCACTGTGGAGTCTGCATAGCCGAGATTGAGTAACAAAGTCATTACTTCTACGAGGATACCCTTTCGCTTTCGCCATCTATATCGTCTCCATCTATCATCACAATCATGAAGCTAACCACGATCAGATCAGATGGTAGGGTCGGAGCCCTTCTCATCACCAACCCTTGATCACGGAGGAAAAGCCATTCGATGAGTTTCCGGAGCGTACCCAGCACCCGATACAGAGATGGTGGATTGGATCAAGTCGGCCTCGACTGTTACAAAGAAGGGAGATATAGATGAATATGCGCACCACGTGTGGTCCCGGTGTCTAGGCCTCGCCTGGCTGGGGCTGCAGGTTTTTTGAGACTTTTTCCCGCGCACGCAGTTTCCATTGCTACCATTTTTATTTTTTTGGGTAGAAGGTTCCGTGGAAAAGGTGGCCGAATTCCACGGGTAAATGCTGAGCTGAATGGCTATTCATCAAGGGGAATATATCAATGTGTTGTGGTTATGAGCTGTGGGGTATATAGCAATTATGTCTCTGCTGTCCGTCGGTGGAATTACACGGGCTCATGTGCAATGGTGAGTCGCGGAGATGGCGCGCTCACGCTGGGTGACGGCACGATGGACACTGAGTGCGTATCACTGTGGCCAAATGGGTGTCAGTAGGTATCAAATGTGAACTCTTACTGACGATGGTGATCTATGAAGGTGATGCTAGATGTGCATCCCGACGATTGATAATATCATCTAATGGATGATGTGAAGTATGATATTATTTTGGATAGATTAATTCACTAGACCCGGCAGGTGAAGAGATTGTAGAGTACATGAACACCGTCTGTGCACCAGCCTGTATTTTCCACCCTTTCCTAATCCAGCAGCCCATCCTCCGTTCCCCTGTCTCCTAACAACTCAACCGAGCCAGCACAACACAATGATCTTACAAGCAACAAAAGAAGTTAGGAGCACTGTGCAAGGTGTAGCCTGGGTCAGAGAGGAGCCCAATGTGCTAGATAGTCATAGACTCAAGTAGTACAATAAACAAAAACACATACAAAATACACATAATACATATTTATTTATTTATTTATAATACTTAACGTCGTGCCAGCGCACAGCACGTGAGCTCCTCACGTGCCGGCTAGCTCAGTCTAAAAAAACTACGCGACGTGTTGGCGCCTGAACAAACCCAACAAAGCAAATGAAAGCCAGGATCTCATCATCCTGCACTTGAAGATTAAATTATACATGGTTACCGGTCTTCCTTCAACTCTCATGTATTCAGATGGTATTGAATGAAGAATAGATTAAATAAACAATATGGAGGGGGGAAATACAAAACACATGGTTAACTTCTGTTGTGAAGTAAGATGGCCAGATCACGTGGTGTTAGAGTTGCTTGGACCTTTCACTTATATCTTTGTTGGTCAGGCTTGAACGTAAAACTAGTCGATCTAACATATACCTATTCAACAACTTCCCTACCAGCCAATACAGTCGTGGCCTTCTCAAATGGATCGTCATCGGGTCCCGGAAAATCATCATGGGGGTATGTAGTATACCAAGGAGGCAAGCTAGTTGCAAGTGGCTCCGGACCACTTCCCGGAGCAGAGGTATTGGACGCGGAAGTTATAGGCGCCATGGAAGCTGTTAACATTTCTATCTTGATATCGACCCGTACAAACATAGTGTATAATTTTAACTCACATTGATACTCAGGATTGCGATGGATAGTAGAGATTGATGTTGTTTATGGCAGTGCGGGGGTTGGTACTTGTGGACAGGGATATAACACGTGTATATATATATCGCGCACTTGAGTTCTCTTGACTATGATGATGCTTCCGACTACATTCACAATGCCCATACCTACTCTGAGCTAATCGCCGCTTTCTATGTTGGTCTTATCTTCTAAATAATGTCTTTTCGCCCTTTTATCTTAAACGAAAGGTCGTGATATTCTTTGTCTTGCTGGCCATCATCAAGCTCAGAGTTATGGAAAGATTAAATCTTAAACATGCATCATCTCGTGAACTTGTCTTGATACCTCTCACGTTCATTCCAAAGAACTTCCACCCAAATTTGTGCTTCATGCCTCGTTTTCTGCGTTGGATATATAGATCGGTGTGGGCGTATATTTAGTGACCAGCTGAGGCCAGAGAATAGTCGATGAAAAGTGTAGTCATTGAAATGAGCTTGTAACATGTCGTACTTTTAGACTTGATGAGATTTAGATAGGAGTCGGTCTCGCTGGGAGATAAAAATTGACGTGGTGGAGTAATTTAAATCATTGCCTCGTGGGTCAACTTCTTGATTATTGCGAAATTTGACTGAACTTAGTTTCGGTAAGGATATTTCACTCCCAGGTTCGTAGAGGATACTCCGTAGAGATATTCAGTCTTGCACTTAGCATTCCTGCTAAGTACGTGCATTCCCAACTAGAATTGTTGATATTCTTCTTATTTCCAATTATCGTCTGCCACTTCGCAGCCAATGGTTGGAACTTCCAACTTAGTTATTGCAAACGAAGCATAGACCAAAATCAGAAGGGATTTTCGTTACATAATCTACTCGCACAATAGACACTGTGATATCATAATAGTCTCAGACTTGGATAGGATATAAGTCGATAAAAGGAGATACGACACGACTAAAGCATGGGTAGCAATTTTAGATTTTCATCTATTGAATTAAATGTGTGCATCAAGAAAAACAATTAACAGAGAGTTCGATATATCACCTTCCACCTTGGCCATTCTCTACGATCTTCGATCCGTGCTCTACGCTGCAGTTCACCCTCCCACCCATTCCTACCAGTCACCAGATCTACCTCATTCATCCTGACACACCGAGTGCGATAACATATTTTGTATCCAAAATATAAAATAAGAATGAGAGGTATAGCTAACAGAGCACCAATAAATTTTATAAGCCTTTCTCGTGGTTTTTGAGTCGCATTACTATATGGAGAGATTAGCACCCAGAAATGAGCAATCAGAATAAGTAGTAGAGCAACAAGTGCAGCATAAGAACCTTTGGCACCAATTGGGGAACGATAGATAAGATCGCTGACTTGCAAGCCTTGATAAGCCCACGCCCGTCGAAATAGGATATGTGTATAGCAAATGGAAGCCCATGTGAATATAGTCGAGAGGCTTGAAATAGCGAGAAGCCAGCTGAAAGCTACATCGCAAATGGGAGTGACATACAAAAACGCTGATAGCCCAAATATAGAAACAACCCCAATGCTGACGAGTGGACGTCCACTCTGATCGACATAAGCCATAAATCGTGGCGCTTGTCCTTGTTCACCAAGCGCAGAAAATACACGTGATGCACTATACATGGATGAATTGGCTACCGATAAAACAGTGATTAATACCACCACGTTCATGACAGTATCGAGACCATGAATACCTGCAGATCGGATGGCAATTATAAATGGAGAGGCCCTAGGGTCCATGCTGTTATGCAAAACGAGCTTTGGGGAGTTGTAGGGTATTAGGAGGCCAATTATTATGACTGAAGCTATATAGAGAGTGGCTACACGCCAAAATACCTGCTTGATAGCCGTAGGTAGTGTTTTAGACGGGTTTTGGGTTTCGGCTGCCCCAAGTGCCACTAGAATATTGAATAAGTCATTATTTCAAAGTTTTAAATGTTAAACATACCAAGCTCAGTACCGGCATATGAAAAGGTAGCTGTGATTAGCATGCCGCAAAACCCTTTGAACCCACTACGACGTTATTAGTTTTAACCTCACCTTTTCGGGTTTATAAGCTGACTCACTTGTTGAAGGCGCCTGGATTATGCCAGTAACGTGCGCCAATATACCCCGAGTCCTGAGTCCCGGCACAATTAATTAAGACACCAAGTATGCTATTATTATTAGCATTATTTTGATTTGAGTCTTTCCCACATAGGAAAATCGACTTACATAAACCCTATAACAGCTGCAAGCTTCAGAACTGAAAACATGTATTCAACCTCACCATAAACCTTGACGCTAAAAAGATTAATACCGACAATTATGGCAAGAAAAATAGCCACAGCTAGCCAGCTCGGAATAGGGGAGTTCCAATACTCGAGAGTAATTGCGGCGGATATTATTTCGAGGGGGAAAGTAAAGGCCCATTGTAGTGCATAATTCCAGCTAAAGGCAAATCCCCACGCAGGATCAATAAAACGAGTTGCAAATGCGCTGTAAGATCCCGCTACAGGAAATGTCACGGCAAGCTCTCCTAATGCTTGGACGACGCAGAAGAGAACAGCACCAAGTATTATAAATGCTATGAGGAGAAAAGCTGGTCCGCCTGCTGCCAGCGCCGCGCCAGAATCTATGAAAAGTCCGGTACCTAGATAAAACTTTTCAGTAAGATCATGTGACCAACTTTTTTAAGATTGGATCGGGTTAAAAGGCATGGGTGGAGCGATTATTGGGCGCAAAACTTCAGCACGTACCTATTGAGCCACCGACTGCTATCATCTGTATGTGGCGCCCCTTCAATCGCCTAGCTAGCGGAGAATTTGCCGTACACCACGCTGCTGCTTCTGCATTGAATACCCTTCTTTCCTCTCCCATGGCGGGTACATATTGTCGACTAGAAACTCTAGATGGATAGACAGCATCCCCAGTTGTTGGGGTACCATGTTTTGCTTTCGGATTCGATAGTAGCGGGTCGGCGAAAGGGTAACTGGGCGACCGCATCTCGTAGACACTCATTCAAGGGCAGGGGGAGTGGGGAGGATCGTGATCACTCCTATTTTTCAGCTCGGTTGCTTTATAGTGTATTTGTTTTGATCGCATGAAGCTGTATTCATTGTTGCTAAAATTTCAACTTCTTTGTTCATTAAGGAATTTGAATTTGGAGGGGTAGTCGCGTGATAGGATTGACTCAATGAATTTTAATTTGATGTGGATGACTCGCCACCATGGTTCCGGAATCAACCAGTTCATCTAGTAATAGAAGATAAGCGGAGAGGAGGAGTCATGAATAAGATGATGATATGGAGTCGGAATGATAGTATTGCTGTCTATATTATATGACACCATTTCGTCTTCGACCCTCTGGTTGGATAAGATAACGAAGCGAGGATGAGCACATCCTTCTAGTCCGGCGCGGCGTTATAGATCGGGGATACTTTAGAAACACTAAAAGAAGGCTACCTTTGGTGACTGGTTAGTATTGAAAACAGTATTTGGATAAATTACTTGGAATTTTCGCATCGATCCTGACGTATTGTGGAGGAGAGTGAGAAATGCCATAATCATTCATTCACCTACCATTTTGATAAGTCGAGTTTAATTACCAGAGATTCTTTCACTGATAAAAACTATGCAACATCTAAAGACTGGGTTCTATCTCCATGAATTTAAGTTTCCTGATAATTTATTGTTTCTTCTCGCAATGATCAGCATTGATATGTCCAGGCTATCGTAACCCGTTGTCACCGACCCATAAACATATGACTGTGCCTATGCCAGCTAGTTACACCACCAGAAGGGAGTTTAATAAAACTGTAGCTCGTCTGTAATCAGATGTTAATGCATCTGTTGTCAAGAAGGAATGGATCTGTATAACCGTTTTTGTTATAGCCTTTATTGCATTTATTGCATTTGCCCACCGGTTCGACTCGGAAGCAAATGTTGTCATCGCCAATTTTCTAAGCTAACTTTACATGACAGCCCCCCCCCCCTTACTAGTACGGATAACTAGCCTCAGAAGCCCATTAGAATTAAGCAAGTGGATCCAATTTTACATGACTATTCGGATAATTATAAATTAACTTTCCTAGTTCTGGGCATGACGCGATTTCAATTTGACGGCTTGATGGCAGGTCACATAACCAAGCCAGAGAATAATGGGTATGAACGAGAAAATGAAGACAAAGCCACGGTGAAGACAGTTTCTGGTCTGGAGAAAAATCATCTTAGAAAGGCTGATAAGCTTATTCGAGCTTTTAGAGTCGACTAAATGGATGTTAGTGAAAGGTCGAGAATTAGATACTAAAAAAATGGATCTTCGTCAAACATGTGGAAAAGTTCTGAAGCTTATGTTCATTTCAAGGGAACTTACCCAGGCAAAGAACCAAAGATTAATTCGACAATCTTGACATGGGCCACAAGATTTCAAAAACGGGGTTGACAGATAGTCACGCACTCTCGCACTCACAGTTGCAAGGAGACTTAGTCGCAAGGGACTCTATTTGCATACCCTGGGGGGCACGAGTATGATCAGAACTCCTCTTACCCTCATCTGCACTTGATATGCCCTCTCGATTCAAGCTTGATGACTTTTTGAAATGCATTGAATGGACATCACGTTCCTTCAATCGATCAGAGCTTCTAATCCCTCCACTCAGGGCTGGAAATCGTTCCTTTATACCCCTAGCAGTGTCTATTAGTGTCTACACACAGTTTCTCTCAACCGTAGCTTATCTTGAATTCTAGCAAGCTTTAGTATACCAAATTATCTTAAAATTTATTATTGCAAGACTTATCTCATCGTCGCTTCATTTCAATTTATATTCCTAAGGTGGGAGATTATTTTCTTGAACTCTAGATCAGTTTCTTCTTAAATCACATGAACCATTATTGTGTTCTTATCAACGCAATCGAAAACAGGTTCAAGACTCAAGAATCTGGCTAGAGATTCTTACTGACGTGGTTTAGATCGTAAAGTGCCTAAAGCTGGGGATTTCTGGACTTTTTTTATTGAGATTAACAATGAGCGGGGCGTTCTGAAGAGTTGGATTATTTACCTACATGCATCCAATCTTCCCCGGATCTGGATTTCTGGTCGAAAAAGACAAAAGAAGACTGAGCAGTGTAACGAGATCTAGTTATTCCTACATAACCTTCAGCTTCATTGTCATGTCGAATGAAACGAGATCGACCACAAAGCGCTTTTGACTTAGTCCTGGTTGACTTTAGCCCTAATCATCGATCCATAACTGTCCTGTTATTCTCAGTATGGAAGAGTACTTCCTTGGAAGATTCCCGACTGCTGCACCACCAGTCACAAGCTTTCGAGATGATAAGCCATCTCTTTTAATATCATGGTGGTGTACATTGTACTCTCTGGCAATAATTATATTTCGGATAATGGGCCGCTATATTCGCACCGAAAAGATATTTCTCGACGATCAGGTTATGGTCCTTTCAATTATACCTCTGCTCTCCCGAATGGCCCTGGAGACTGTCGTTATTATACATGGAACAAACAATGTTGAAATAACTAGTCTCACGCCAACACAAATTCATGGACGTGAGCTTGGTAGTAAAATGGTTCTCGTATCCCGTATCTTATATGCAATATTGTAAGATATTAGCTCCCTTCATTTCATCCATATTCCAATGAGTCTCTAAACTTATTGCTCACAATTAACGTCACTGTATGCAACTCACTAACATCTTAATCTGTTCAGTCTTTGGACCATCAAATATTCTATTTCCATATTTTTACAGACTCTCACTGCCCCCATCTGGAAACGATCGCATCAAATTCAATTGCGTTATCTACATGTTTTTCTCGTTGTAACATTTCTGATGACCATAGTGGCGACGTTAGCTCCCTGCCAGCCATTCACACAATTCTGGCAAGTTGTACCTGACCCTGGATCCTCTTGTCGCCAAAATTTTGCGCAAATATTTACACTAGGAGGCTTAAATATCGTAACAAATATTGTGTTGGTTGTCTTCCCTTTTCCAATTGTCTTGATGAGTGGACTACCTATGAAACAGTACGTATTTGTAACCGGCCCGGTCAAACTTGAATGGTACACTTACTCCAATTCTCAAAACACTAGAAAATCAACGATTCTCTTCCGCCTTTCTCTTCCGGTCTTTCCTATCTTTCTCACCATCTATGCAATCATCCACCTAACTAGACCGCAAGCCTCAGCCACAAGCCAGATAATTCGTACCCTTTATATCTCGATCGATATGCTCCTTACTACTCTTAGTGCTAATGCAGTTGTTCTATTCTCCCTTTTGCAGGACAAGGGGTACAAAAAGTCTAAGTTTAAACATGTGCGCGAGCCTTGGAATTTTAAGCGGCCTGCCCGGGTACTGCGTGCTTCATATCTTTCCGGAAGCGTTGTTGAATCGGCAGTTCCTGTAGCAAACCACATGGAGCTATGTGATGCTGGAGGCTTGCTAAATGAAGTTGTCATTGGTGCTAGCCAGGATGATAATGAAGACGATTATAAACGAAAGTCAGAATCAGGTCTAAATGACATTCCAAAGCGAGAAATACGGAAATGTAACGAATGGAAATCGCTTTTCTCATCGACGGCAGTTTGCGCCTGGCCAAAAGAAAAAGAAAGAATTGCTCGTCCAGATCGAAGACAAGATCGTAAAGTGACGCGGAACATATTTTCCAAACAAAGTAAAATAGAGACTTGGAAAAACGAGAAACGAAATTGGGGAAGGGTAAGCTTAAGATCGAATAACCGAGATAATCAAGGCAAGCTCGAGATTTCGTCCCTACCACCTGTACCTTTCAGTGATACGGGAGGAGTAGATGAGGGCAATCAAAAAAGAAGAATATGATAGAAAATCGGGTGATTTTTGCATGGAGTTTTGGAACCAGATTAACCCTAGCTCAAATAACTGCTCAGCTAAATGTTGGTACAAAGCTTTAGTGGTGAATAATTTAATAAAATTTAAAATTCCTAATAAAAATATTCTAAAATCTTAATTACACGGATTCTGTCAACTCTTATTCACAATCGGGACATCAGGATAATCAATTTTTGCTTAGAAATTACTTTTTGTTCTAATCGCGGGCAATTCCTATCATCCATTTCAAGGCTTGTGCAAGAATGGAGCCGGGCTGAATCAGGATAACAACTTAACGATAATAATTTTCTCGCAATAATGATTGCATCACCTCGAATAAATTTGATGTGTTTGATCCCAAGCTTAGTGATTCATAGGACTACATTCATAGTAGAGCATTAAATGCTCACTCGTCTAAGATAATGCACAATTGAGACATAAATTATTCTTTTGCTGTACCATCGAATCTAAGGATATACTGAGCCATTATCGAACTCTATTCACACATAAAATCCGGATCATCAAAGCACTACGAAAAAATGATAGCGGTTGAGACACTGTCTATGTTTTCAACGAGGACTTCTTTACATGATAACACTATTAAATGCAGCTCATATCGGCATATCCTAGACTTGAATTGTGGCACTCTAGTTTCGAAAGGGGTCCATGAATTTTGGAGTTCAAAATAATCAACAATTATACCCCTGTTTTTAAGACTAAGAGGCAGAACTTGCCATTACGTGCTATGAGATTTACTCGATATAGTTTTATTCTTGTAAGATACCTTGATTGTTGTATTAAATGTCAAAAGAGTCAATTTATACATATACAACATACTGATCATGTATCGTGGTAATATATCTGCATGCAGAAGAAACGATATTTTAAAGAATAAAGAGAATGTCTCGAGAGTTTTACAACCTCACCTTACGACTTAACCTCACCTATCAACTTCCATACTTTCTCTTCCAGAGCATCGATATTGAGCTAAAAGCTAACTTTCCTCACGGGAGAGTCTGAATAATTATCCAGTGCTATCTCTATAAGTTTACTTTGATTGCGTAACTCCTCAAAAGTTCATTAGTACGATGCAGCCACGTAAATGAATTCATACAAAATAGCTGTTTTAGTCCAAGATACTATTGAATTCAGAAGACATATGATAGATCAAATATATTTAAATCCTTACTCTAAGTGTATTGGCTTGGTGGCGCCCGTAAGCACCATCCAGGATGCTCTTGTAAATCGAGCCTGGATATACTGGATACACATCTTAGCTGAGATAGAAGACCACTGTACTGAATCCATTAAGATCCAATAGTTCTTGCGCGACTCTGATAGGAAGATATTGTCTACACTTGCTAGATAAGTCGCAGGTTTCCAAGCTTTCCCGATGGCGGGCATACATGGTTGAGGAAAGGCTTGAAGTGATGCTAGCGAATGGAGCCTACTATATGAAGTGGCCCTCAGTATATAAATAATTCTCTACAAGAGACTATCTATGTATTTTCATCCACATGTATTACTTCCGATCATATCTAGTGAGAGACAATATTTTGGGCACAACACAAAAATAATAACATATCTATAGATATATACTTTTGTGTAAAAGATCAAGAAGGTTAAGAAGGAAATCTCGACAGTTGATTTAACGGCCCTATATTTAATACATGAGGATTGTATGAGATAGAGAGTTAATTGGTCGTCATTCGTATGTGATTCAATATCCGTCCGTTCGTAACAGCTCATCTCAAACCCGCACGGGCCACAGCCAATACTCGCTAACCATACCTAATTCTGACATGTGGAGCACAGTCATGAATGAATGAATGAACATTTTTTCATGAGGAGCACAGGCCCTGCACTCAAAGAGCATGACTCGGAGGAGACTAGATTCTTCGGCGACTGTATACGACCATAACTCAGTTTGACATTTGGAATACTCATGTAGTGGGTGCATTCGCTGATACCACTCGAGACCTTGGTGCTAGGGACTTTCACACTTATCTCAACCGTTAATAACCACCAACGGGAAAACAGGAAAAACCTTTGGCAACCCTAACCTTCCTTTGCCATCTTGTATATAGCCGCCACGCGAGATATGGCCTCACAGTCCTCCCTTTCTCGAGTGAGGTAGATGTCAAGGCTACCCAGACTTTAATTCGGGGAGATGACGACCAGGAGGCGGACCAAAACACCATCAATCTTTGCCTGTTTTTAAAGTGTCGGTAGCACTATCCTAAATCGTTGCCTCGGCGCCCATAGATACCCTTAAGGCGAAAATACTCGAAAAATGTGCGTCCCAGCATGTCCATTTGTGACCTCTTCACTCGTTCGTCCCACGTCCCAGCTGCCTGTCCTCCCTCAAGATGTGAAGCCCCATTAGAGCAAAGGTCCCCCATAGACCAAGACCCGAGCTTTGTAGATTATGACTTGAATTCCTGCTCGCGGGTATACATAGCATCGTAAATGTGTAGTGGGAGATGGCCGGATTTTGATGAGGCATATGCCCGATTTCAATTGGAGTAACGCCATCATTGAAATTTGAGGCAAGTTGGTTTGTGGTATGAGTAAGTCGAACGACTCGCACGAGAAAAATAGGTCCGAAAGTGACGAGAAGTCGTTGATTTTAGATATGCTTGAGGTTACTTTCGACTTTGATTCGGATGCGATTCTTCTTGGCTATCATAGATATATAGAGCATACTGAACGATTACACCGGAACCACTAGAAGGTGAAGAATTCATCTTTGCCGGCTGGAGCACAGTCATAATTCAGGCAATATTTAGTGGCAGATATCGAAGGGTGATGTGGTTTGGTATTTTTTAACTCATATTTTATTCTGCTACCTAGCTATGACACGTATAATCAGAAGGCCCAAATACCATCATACAATCTCGCAAATTTGTGTTCCATTTTAGTTTACTTAGTGTGCTACTTTTCATTCGGATGTATCCATAATGTTTAATAATGCGTCCTTTCCTTTCCGGTTTGGTGTTTACTGTGCGACTTGAATCTGTGATTATCTAGCAAATTGGGCTTTCTTCTAACTCTTGACTACACATCATGGACATTATATCATTGATCTCTTTTCATAAAAAAAGAAAAGGAGCACTGCACTTAGTATGGCCTAGGTCGGAGTGGAGCCTAGTCTGCTAGAAAGTCAAAGAACAAAGTATCACTTTGAAAATGAAGATAAACCAAAGGGAATGAATCAGCCAACTTCGCAGTTCTCTACGGGTGGAGTAGTTATGTGTGACAATGAAAGACTTGTGGACGTGACAATAGAGGTCTATTTAAAAGTGCTAGCCATAAGATATTTATGGTATTTTTTGTTAAACTTTAGTCCAGCAGATCGATTTTTGTGCTGTAATTTAATTACAAAAGGATGGTCTCAAAGCTTCGCGATGCTAGCCTAATGTACCGATCTCTACCTTCATGCGATTCCTACGAATTGGTCAGAAACCACCTATTTCATGTGTAATAAGCAGTTCACATTACATCGCGAATAATATGATATGCCTAATACTAGAATTACAGATAGAGAGAATAATGAGCGCTCGAATACCATCGAAGGGGTATTCAATATTCTTAAATACACGCTTTTGACTTTCCTTTGAAGTCAGAAGTCTTGGATAACACATCTTAAAACACCAATTCACCCAGGATCTGGTCGATGAATGATGGTAATACACTAATTCTGCAGAAATATCTCATTTTACAAGGACATATATAAGCGGCTCGCCGTAGGAAAATCAAACACTCTTTATAGCAAAAAATATCAGATACACCATCTCAGGAAAGTAACATCGAGTTTTTCGAGTCATGCTGTTAGAGGTGTCGGGCTTCTTGAGGATGCCCAGATCGAATACATACTAGTCGCATTGTCCGAGCAGTAAGACGATCCGAATAATACGCATGTCCTTGGACCGGGGAATTGATATGCTCTCGTCCATTGAAATGGACTTCATAATCATTGTTTTTGAAGTGGAAACCACTGATGTAATTTTTTGGCTAAAATAGGCTTTTGCAATAATATTCGCATCAATGAATCTTATATCTGGATATTTTGCAAGTGATGGCTTTTTTCTAATTAAGAGTAGGTAGAAATGCCTGGAACTTCGGGCTGGAGGCCATAGTGGTAAGCATCCCGTATTTTTTTCAGTTGCAATAAGATTCCTAACAGGTGTAGTTTTAGCCCAGTTCGTTTTTCGGGTGCTCAAATGTCCCCATCGCAATTATCATGAAAGGTAGTTCAGCAAATATCCCTGAGACCGTCTTGTCGTATCAAAGAAGATAGGCATGCTCATATCTCTTGTCCCAGGTACAAGCTTTCCATACTGAGAAATTGTAAGCAGAAGTTATGTTTGACCGACATTCCGTGACCCATCAGCTTATCTTTGAATTCTCAAGAGTTTACTGGGATCTGAGAGACTCTATAAACTCTTTTTATCTCTACTCTATTCCAATCGGATAAGGCAACCATCTTTCACAACGAATTTTAAATTAATTTGGTGGCTTTTCTGCCACCAATCAGAGTTCCAGAATTTTCTATCCCTCTCATGTTAATATTATAAGTTCAGCAGTGACTCATGGCTTAGATTAGCCTTTGTTTTAATCTAACGATTTTACTCCTTAGACTCCATTGTGAACAGTAACCGTAGAGGTTGTGTCACCATGCTGGGGATCAGGAAGAGAATGGTGAAAGCCGTTAGCCAAACCTAAGTGATTTGGCCCACATGTTTAAGGAAACACTGGTTGAATTAAACTTAAGTCTCTGCTGGGTCCTAGACCATCAAAAAATCTTGAGAATCTTTTTCACTATTCCTTTAATTTATGGGTTAAATTTATGTACGGAAACCATGTGCGCATTAAGGTTGTTGAGTGTCGCCTGTCTGGAGCTAGTCGCATCATCACTTTGTATCACGTCTGATACTCGATAGTGTGACAAGAACACTTTTTGGTTTCGCTACGTGACTTATATCAGATCTCGAGTTCTTTTCTTTGTCTTCTCTCGTGAGACAATACACTCTTGCCAGTGCCACTGCTAGATACTCATGTATATAAACAGTCTCATATCCTTTGGTAAAGTTGAAGAGTTTCGATCAAGCCTTTATCATAAAGATATTCTACGTTTAAGAATAACTTTTGAAGTTGTACGTCGTGTTTCTTCCATGATCACTCAAAGAGTCTTGCATCTTCTTAATATATTCCCGTGGAGCATAGGGGAACTATTCTCAACACCTGACAGTGGTGTCCCCTACAAATCTCCAGCTCTCACTATAGAGTCTGCAGAGCCGAGATTGAGTGGCAAAGTCCTCACTTCGATGAAGATTCCCATTCATTTTTGCCGTTTGTATCGTATTCACCTCTCGCCACATTCTTCTATCATTATTCTCGTGAAGCTAGCCACGATCAGATCAGATGGCAGGGTCGAAGCCCTTCTCATCCCCAACCCTTGATCATGGAGGAAAAGCCATCAGATGAGTTTCCGGAGGGTACCAAACACCCGATACAGAGATGGTGGATTGGTTCAAGTTGATTTCGAATGTTATAAAGAAGGGAGATACAGATTAACATGCGCTCCTCATGTGATCCCGGTGTCTAGGCCTCGCCTGGCTGGGGCTGCAGGTTTTTTGAGGGTTTTTTGAGGCCTTTTCCCGCGCACGCAGTTTCCATTGCTACCATTTTTATTTTTTTTGGGTAGAAGGTTCTGTGGTAAAGATGGCTGAATTCCACGGGTAAATACTGAGCTGAATGGCTATTCATCACGGGCAATATATCAATGATCTTACAAGCAACAAAAAAAGATAGGAGCACTATACAAGGTGTGGCCTGGGTCAGGGGGGAGCCCAGTGTGCTGGAAAGTCTAAGATCCAAGTAGTACATTAAACATACCTCTCTCCTGTTGAGCAGAGAGGTTTTTAAAAGCTTGTGGCTGCCAGACACAGATTATTTCATTTGGTGAAGAGAATAAAATAATTGAAGAGTCTGTAAATCTATCGTGGGGAAGTGTTCGGGACTCTTTTTTGGACACATAGTTCTTTGAAAACTGTATTTTGTTGTAAGAAAACCTAGTGGTTGATATTTACGTCAAAGCGCACAAACACCAACCTCCCATCTAATGGCATATTTTTTCCTATTTTTAAAATTTTTTATTGTATTTAGCTATCTAGCTATGACACCTGATCAGTGCTATGTATAGGTGTTGTACGACACTTTTGATGTTCGAGATACTCATACTTTGTATTTCATTCGCAGATACCACTATGAGGCATGTACGCTTACACAAACAGTCGACCTTCATCCGTAAGTACCCACCAAAGTAACCTTTCAAAACCCTTGGTTATCCAAACATGCCTTCGTGATATATATACACTAGCGCCGCGAAAAGCTTAGGTTAGTTTTGCTGGACTCGAACCAGCCATTTACTGTCTCTAGTGTGTTATGTGTCCAATCTACCAAAACTCTACTCAGAGGGCCGGCAAAGACGAATTTTTCAACGTTCAGTGGTGCCGGTGTAATCGCTCAGTATGCTCTGCATATCTGGGACAGCCAAGAAGAATCGCATCCGAATCGAAGTCGAAAGCAACCTCAAGCACATCTCCATTTTACGAATTCTCGACAATGCCTCTTTTACCCTATTTATTTGAGTGCCTAACCTCTCTCTAACCACGCATCGTCTCGCCTCGACGACCAATAAAGAGGTTGCTCTAATTGCATACAGGAGCTTGCCCCATTAATTTCCAGCCATCTCTCACCACATATTTACGACGCTATTTATACCCGCAAGGAGGAAATCAAGTCGAAAAATACAAAGCCTGGGTCTTGGGTTATGGGGGACTGTTGTTCTAATGGGACAAACAACTTGAGGAAGAACAGGCGGCTAAGGTGTGGAGCGAGAGGGGGAACAGGTCTCTGAAGAGCATGCTGGGACTGATGTTTTCGAGAATGTTTCAACCTTGGATTTTTTGTGGGCGCCAAGACTAAGATTTCGACTAATTAGCCAGGAGGGCTTCTATTGTCGATGAGTCAACGACACTCCCCAGCGCCCTGGACGGCACAAAAGAAGCTAGGCTAAGCTACTATACAGTAAACACGCTCTGTCAAGACTTTTCTGAAATTTCAGCACAACCTTCGGGAAGGAGTTGGAAGGAGGCTAGAAAGGCAGAGTGTGAATTCTCCGAGGTACCCATAAGTCTGCAGCGCCCAGCTGGCCGGCCTCTTCGAACGCATCAGAAGTATCACTATGTCTTTGCATCTAGTCCTAATGCTGGTATTAGAAGAGTCCCGTGCCCAGTAGTTTTTGCGATTTTTCCCGGCTGCCGTACACCTGCAAATGGCCATCGTTTCGTTGGCTGGAGAGGGGAGATAATGAAGGGCAAAGGGCTCCTCTAAGTGTATGATCGAATGAGGACTTGTAAGGGGCGGTACTGTTTGAGGGGAGCTGTATGGGAGGCACAGGAGGGGATATACTACTGGTATAGGTATCCTTAGCCTGTAGGCAGACGACCTGCATGTCCTAGATAGTCATAGACTCAGACAGGACAATAAAATGAAATTATAATAATAATAAAATAATGTACCACTGCACCACCCAACCGCGGCGGTATTTATAGTGTCGCCTGCACTCGCGTAACCGAGGTCTTGGCGCGCGCACAAATCTCAATTTGTAATGCACCTTGCAAAATTGTAAGACCTTACACCTTCTGAATTAGAATCATTTGTTTGCATCATATATCGCACATGTTCAGGTCTCTCTCGTACCCGTCCACAAGATCTGTCCCCCATATTTGTGCGCCACAATTTTTCTCCTCCGGCGAGCATTCATATCATTGTGGGTATATGTAGAGGCCATTCGAGGACACAGACTGATTTGACGAGAGGTGTACACATAAAAATGAGGATGTACTTGGTTGTACTTGTAGACTTGATAAGATTTGGGTTGAAGTCAAACTCTTTGAGAGTGAAAAATTGACGTGGTGGAGTAATTTGAATCGTTGCCTCGTGGGCCAACTTGTTGAGCGTTGCGAAATTTGACTGAACTTGGCTCTGGGAAAAAAATTTCACTCCCAGGTTCGAAGTGGGCGCCGCAGACGGGTGTTCAATTTTTACTATCCCAAATTCTAACAAAGATCGTACTCGAAATGGGCAACCGATCTTGCTCGTCAACATTACTTGATGCTAATTTAAGCTAAGCTAAGCCCTAATGGTAATATGGATGATCGCTTGGAAGCTGCAGGGGTCAGAAGATACTGTTTAAGTGTCGGTTTACACTGGTTGGTGTCACTTTTTACACGAAGTGTGCATTACCAGCAACCAAAACCCATATATTAAGTCCAAGATTTGATAGTTCAGACGAGTGATTTTCGTGATACATGTGATGTGGATAAAAGAATGAGCTCACTGTCCGTGCTAAGATCGTTTTGGGCTGGTGCTGCGATCAGCTACCACACGCGGCATGCATTTCTCATGACGGTCTGTCGTATCACGTGAATCAGAATGAATTCTTGACGAACTTGATTGACGGAGCGGAATTATATATTTCCCTCCAAGGAATATTCTATTCATTTGATGGCGGGCACTCAACACCTCAGATGCTTATCGCGCCAGATAAATTTCAGTAACCAACAACCTTTGCCCGGAAATCAAGGAGTAATCGGCGACAAATTTGAGGGGATTTTTTGGAGCGCCTCACGACACAAATTGACGCTTGCTCAATTTGAGTGAGGACTAACAAATTAGTGCCTTACAAATCTCTGCAGCCTTCAGAGATTCCATTTGTAGGTCTCTATTTAAGTCATCGACGTTGTAAGAATAGCGGGCTTCGACAAAATTTTCGCATATAAAATTAGTCCCACGAATATTGCAATGCCTCATGGGCTTCCGTACCACAACTTCTAGGTCTTTCGGGAACCGCAAAATATCCTTTACCCCCACCACACTTTGGCGCGAGCCAACACATATTAACACAAAATATTAGTTCCATTTTTCAAAAAATAGGAAAAACTGTACAAGAGATTCTACGAACGAAGATAAAAATTGGTCTGGCCTTGGTGGGGAAAATTTTGAACCTTGAACGATAAAATGTCTTCTTCCTCAGGCACGCCAGAATCATGGATCTCCTCATTTTGCTCCCTACTTGGTCATGAATACTTCGCTGAGGTTTCGGAAGACTTTATTGAAGATGATTTCAATTTAACGGGTCTACAAACTCAGGTAGCTATGTACAAGGAGGCTTTAGAGGTTAGGATCAATTTTCCGTGTTTAGGCTAGCCTAACTAACGCAAGCTCAGATGATATTAGATGTAGAACCTCTAGACGATAATGAAGATGATGATGATGATGACGATGACGTAGCAGAAGGGTCTATGGAGGCAATCATTCACAGGGAAGAACGGCTTAGACATTACCGTACGGCTTCCGATCTTTCAACCATAGAATCTTCTGCAGAGATGTTGTATGGTCTAATCCATCAACGTTTTATTTGTTCCCGTGCAGGTATACAGCAAATGTCGGAAAAGTACGAGCTTACACATTTTGGATGCTGCCCACGAACCAATTGTGAAGGAACTCGTACGCTACCTGTTGGTCTCTCGGACACTCCAGGGGAAGACACCGTGAAACTTTTCTGTCCATCATGTTTAGACGTCTACGTGCCGCCCAACTCACGCTTTCAGACAGTCGATGGCGCATTTTTTGGCCGAACCTTTGGGGTTCTATTCATGCTTACATTTCCCGACCTTGACTTAACAAAAAGAGGCTATGAAACGCTTACTAGCTTACACACCCGTGCTTCTAACACCTCTACAAATCATGATAGCGCTGAAAAGGAGAAAATAAATGGGTTGAACGCAAACAACCTCGCTTCCGGACTTGGCAAGGGTAAAATGTATGAACCTAGAATTTATGGATTTAGAGTTTCAGAGCGTGCTCGAAGCGGCCCGCGAATGAGTTGGCTTCGTGACCGACCATCGAACATTCAAGAGCTAAATGAAGCCGCTGCCTGGAACATGGAGCATGCAGACGAAAGCGAAGATGAAGTTGATATGGAGGACGTAACTACATGGGCACCATCCGCGCAACGGAGGAATAAGAATCAGCAGGTATCGCGTGGTAGTCCCATGTCAGTGGAGGCCACCAAGAGCAAACAAAACGCTTGATTTGATTTCCTAGTGGCGTTCGGTGCCCACAACAGAAAGGCTCAAAATGGGGGTAGCCGTGAGATGATACAATAATGAAATGCAAAACGGCAGCAAAACATGAGCGGTTATAAGGATATTTTTCACCGCCAAAACGAAGTTTCACAGATAGTACGTACGATTTTACTTGCTATTAATTCAAGCTTCTCAAAAATTGCTGTCAGAAAATTCTATTCTCATACTATCTTTCATCTGGCCTTTGACTCAGTCCGTATACCCCCTGGCCATACCTCCCTTGGTCAACTGGATCAACTCTAGCTTTCGCCACGAGAAAACCTACAAGGTAATCTTAGTACAACACTGGCTACCTGTATTACTGATTCTACAGTAAGTATTGAGGTAAATTTTGCACTTCAAAGATCACCCACCTCTGTGTTTTAGTCTGTGTAGAATCGAACATTTTCTTTTGAGGTCGATCGAGAAAGGTTGGTAGCCTTGAAATTTCCATTTTCCTAGAGTTGTAAATATGGTAATGGTAATGACACTAAACCACAATTGAAGTGGTATTAGAAGTTGTGCGACACTGAGCAGTCTGCTTGAGATAAATCTCAATAATTTGACGGCTCGTGCTGATTGAAAATATCCACCTAATTCTACGATCTGTATGTGTCTTTCACATGATGCTTTCCCCTGATCTCATCTTTGCGTAGGTGCTTTAAAATGCTGCTCGTATAATTCAATGAAATAAAAACGCGTGTATCTGCAGCTCTGATTTCGCTACAGTGCAGCATGCAAGCTGGATGACTACACAAGTTTATCGTAATTTCGGAGGGATAGTTTACTTCAAAAAAAATTCGTTGCGCTACTTGGTGATTTTGGTTACAATGTGACAATATCATAGTCGTACCGGCAAGAGATATACGATCTAAGTCAAACAACTGTTGACGTAGTTAATCTCTTATAACTCTCCTTGCCTAAGGCCTTTTTTCTGGCCCACCTAAAACCAGTAGCTTTGTTTTCATCATTGGCAGTCTATTGTTTATCTCAAGACATAGGTTTATTCAGCAAACCTCCCAAAACGTTTCGGGTTTGATCACTGTGAATTTTTGGTAAGAATAAGAATGGATAGGAGTCATAATAGGCGCATAAATAGTTTGCTAAATTGGAAACAGTCACTATTGAGGGTGTGACAGGATGCTTGCGGTGCTAGGTCGACCTAAAAATGGATTCGTAAGTGGACCGAGATCCTCTACCTTGATCTCTAAACCTGATAGAACTCAGCATGTGAAGGTATAGACCAGAGCTTCGAGGGTAGAGCTCTGCGACCCATCATTTTCTTTTGGCCGCTTTCTCATGGTCAAACAAAATATGGCTTAGTGAGGGATTAGTGCGCTGGAACCTCATATCGTTCGTTGGGGATACAGCTGATCAATCTAGGACCTTAGCTCACGGACTGCGTCAAAACGTCGTTTACTAGATGGCAGAGCCACCAATGGGACATAGAATGCAGCTGCCTAGTGTGAGCCATCTTACATCACTGACAGTAGGTCCGAGTCCAACTAATGACGAATAACAAGTGATATTATACATGTTTTGTGAACCCTCTGAATTAAGGGATCCTCATACTCTAGATTCATTTCCACAAACCACCGTGAGGTATGTTCTATTACAGGGAAAAGTCAACTCGCGATTTTGAGAAGCCGACAATGGGAAATTTCAACTTCTTGGATTATCCCAGTGTGGCTTCGTCGTCCAGTACAGGAGCTCTGCAAGAACATGTTTGAGATTTAACAGAAGTGTAGGAAGGGAGACCGTGCCTACAAGATCGCAAATCCAAATGCCCGCTCACTTTGCAAGAGCCGGGGAGTAGATATTACGCGTCAAAAGTAGAGAATTACGTGGAAAGAGAGGACCATCCTTAGAGAGCATTTTCTTTCGTGGGTGTTCAAGTGTAGCATTGTCACTGCTGGTCGAAAAGTGGCATACAAGGGAAGTTAGACTAGTCTTTAAGTGTCAATGCAGAAAAGCCTAGATTTTGTGATTCGACTGAATTACGACGAGGTTGTGCAGTCCATTATAGGTACGTGGAAGAAAAATTACAGATACTGCAACGAAAATAATGACTCCTCAGTCATTGATGTTGTAGTATGCAATAAATCATGTGACTACCGAAGTGAAACTAAGTACATAATTTGCAGTCACGTGTGTATAACAACGTGGCTCACTTAATTGCCCCAATTATTCTTTATTATAACAAATACATAGGAATTGACACCATCCAACGATATCCGGGCGAACTTTTCTTAAATCTTTCCCTTGTAGCCCATCTTTATGCTGCCCGCTCAGGGCATGGCGACTTTGCTGCCTACCACGAACGTTTCAAACACGTCGACGCACACAAAATATGCAGTTGCGGGGCTCCCAAGTCACCAAGGCATCTCCTAACCTGCCCATTCCCTCAGTAAGGCTACCTAGAGTTCCAAGGAGCTACAGCGATAACGTTAGTTACCTATTTGGTAGTCAAGATGGAGCAAAAAAATTGACACAGTGGCTGCAAGATACAGAATTCTTTTCAAAAATCTGCCCCCGACACAGAGCAGAATCTCACCACGTTCATGCTGACTAGAAATTTGCGCGGAAGTATATACACTCTAGCTTTTTAACCCAACTCAAATATATAGATAGTTAGTTGTCACAGTATTTTTATGCCCAAGAAATTTTATCGCAAATTCATTTCATGTTATGGAGCAGGATAACCCTTCTATAACCCTTTGCCCAGAAAAACTAAAGGCTTTGGCAATTCAGGTTTGGACAGTCAAAGGCCTCAGGTATCCAGGGTAGTAAGCTTTGGCGTCTTATGTCCTACTTAGGATTTAGATTAGAGAGTGTAAACGTTATTGGCTCAATCTTGTATTACAACTAAATCACTGAGGTTCTCTATCTACGTTCAACCAGAAAGACCGCCCTTCTTATGTGTATGTATGCACGGATCACCCTGGATGTCTGCATAACTCCCACTCCTTTTATATTACATGACTGCATAACTAGAGCTGACTATACTTTAATATGCATCCGCTCATAGATAGACGTAAAATTGTAGATCAAACCAAACCATATAACAAATACAATGTTTCCGCGCCTGGGTTGCCGGCAAAGACGACTTCTACACCTATCAGTGGTGCAGGTGTAATAGCTCAGTATGCTCTGCACATCTGGGATAGCCAAGAAGAATCGCATCCAAATCGAAGTCGAAAGCACTCACAAGCACATCTAAAATCGACGACTCATCGTCATTGTCCGACCTATCATTCTCACGCGAGTCCTCCATCTCAATCTTACTACAACACCTCGCCTCAAATATTGATAATGGCGTTACTCCAATTGCAATTGGGCATTTGCCTCATCAAAAACCGGCCATCTCCCACTACACATTTACGATGCTATGTATACCCGCGAGCAGGAATTCAAGTCATAATCTACAAAGCTCGGGTCTTGGTCTATGGGGGACCTTTGCTCTAATGGGGCTTCACATCTTGAGGGAGGACAGGCAGCTGGGACGTGGGACGAACGAGTGAAGAGGTCACAAATGGACATGCTGGGACGCACATTTTTCGAGTATTTTCGCCTTAAGGGTATCTATGGGCGCCGAGGCAACGATTTAGGATAGTGCTACCGACACTTTAAAAACAGGCAAAGATTGATGGTGTTTTGGTCCGCCTCCTGGTCGTCATCTCCCCGAATTAAAGTCTGGGTAGCCTTGACATCTACCTCACTCGAGAAAGGGAGGACTGTGAGGCCATATCTCGCGTGGCGGCTATATACAAGATGGCAAAGGAAGGTTAGGGTTGCCAAAGGTTTTTCCTGTTTTCCCGTTGGTGGTTATTAACGGTTGAGATAAGTGTGAAAGTCCCTAGCACCAAGGTCTCGAGTGGTATCAGCGAATGCACCCACTACATGGGTATTCCAAATGTCAAACTGAGTTATGGTCGTATACAGTCGCCGAAGAATCTAGTCTCCTCCGAGTCATGCTCTTTGAGTGCAGGGCTTGTGCCCGTCACGGATAAATTTTCAACATCTTCATCATCATCCGCGCCTGGTCCGTGCCCAGTGCCACGGCCTGTGTATCCAGATCGCACGATCCTAAGGGGGCGGCTCGTGCAATGATGGAGATCTGCGGTCGACCCCTACTTATGTAATCTCTTTAGCGTAATTGTATTGCTAGGGATTAGATTAGATTAGATTTTTATTATAGTCCTAACTGAGTCAATGACTATAGAGGACTCCTAGAATCTACATATAAGATACTAGCTACATTTTTTTATATTCCAATTTTACAATTTTTAACTATGCTCTTATGGACAGTGAGGGTCGAGCCCTGTTTTTTTTTTTAAAAAGCAGAGCTATGTCTACAAATTACATATATCCAAGTGTGTGAAATTAAGCGAGTAGTAATGAATAAGTCACCAGTGCTTTCATAACGCCAGACCACCGTAGGTTATTCATAGTAAGTTTTTAGGTCAGAAAGCAATGGACAACTTACATCTGACTTAACGACTTACCCGGCATTCTGTGATACTAATTACAGGCGTGCTTTTAGTCTCTAGTCAACTGTAAGCCCCATTGAAACCGTACGCACAGGCCCTTAGTAAAGTCAACCCCCTGTTAAGACGATGTAATTAGGGCCGTGAAAAATATCGTCATATAGAGGATATTGTTTAAAATGGTATCATTATCTAATCTACCTATCTAGGCTACTTTTTACCTTTGACGCCTCTTTTATACTCCCAATTGCCGTCTTTAAGCGCTCTAATACCCTCAAGGTCAGACCAGTTTCCAGCTCGCTGTCGTAGCGCAGTAGTACTTGTAGCTTCGTCGAGTTTCGCAAAGGTCTTGCTCAAGGACTCGGAGACTGTGGACTGGCTTAATCGATGGCCGTACTCAGCTAAGAACCACTCAATGCACTGTTTTTGTGTTGGTTTTGGTACCTGGCGGTGCGCCCATCGTCGCAGAGCTCGTCGTTG